TACCTTTCCCGTCTCCCGTTCAAAGTCCACGTACTCCCTGGTAGGGACCTGCCGCTGGTCCCCGTGCAGGTTGGCAGGAAAGAACTGGAGGGAGAGGTTGGTTCCTGTCGCCACGAAGGCCTGTGGACGGAGAGAGGACAGCGTGAGCGGCCCAGCTGCAGCTTTCTGCAGCTCTCTGGAGCTTTCTGCAGAGTTTTGCATCTTTTAGCAGCTTTTTGTAGCTTTTAATAGCATTTTGCAGCTTTTTTGCTGTTTTCGGTAGCTTTTTCCATCCTTCTGTAGCTTGTGCAGCTTTATGCAGCTTTTGACAACTTTTTGTGGCTTTCAGTAGCTTTTGTAGCTTTCTGTTGCTTTTAGCATTTTTCAGAATATTTTTGCATCTTTTTGCAGCTTTTTGTAGCTGTCAGTAGCATTTAGCAGTTTTCTGCATCTTTCTGTAGCCTTCATCAGATTTTTGAAGCTTTCTGCATCTTTCTGTAGCCTTCATGAGCTTTTTGAAGCTTTGAGTAGCTTTCTGGTGCTCAGCTCAGAGTTGTACTCTGGGTTCTGGTTTCCAGGTGAGCTGAAGCTGACCAACCTTAGGCCCTCAGCTGCAGCCTGAACAGGAGCAGCTGCAGGAAGAAGGACATGCAGAGAACACACACACACGGAAAAGGACCTGCTCTGCTTACGTTCAGGAGCAGAAAACCTGGAGCTGCTGCGACCCCTGAGAGCCAGAGCAGATAATCAGACACCTCCTTTAGGATTTGTCAAACCTGCTTCGGGTTTCTGCCTCATGGGGAAAAAACTTCACCATTTTTGGATTTGGCCAGAATGAGAAACATGGAAGAAAGATGGCCTCTTGATGTCATTACACAGCAAAGAGAGTCTTCTCGATTCGTAAAATGTTGTTTTAAATGTGAGTCTTTGGTAAATCATAATTTGCAGAACTCAGCAGCCTGTGAAACGGCCCCCTTTCTGGATCCAGATAAAAGTCCCGAACAAAGTACTAATGAATCTACAGCCTCTAATAATAAGTCTGTCTGTTGTAGTTTTAAAAAAGGGGGCCGAAACTCATGTGGTCAGGATGGAAAATGCAGTGAAACGGCCCTTTAA